TGGTTTGTTAAGTTCTGTTTAAGCAAGACAGGATTGGCAACTGGTGGCACTTCAGATGTTGCCAAACTACATCTCTCAGTATCATTGGAGAACCATAGTTTTCTCGTTGGCCATGGTTTCTGGGAACTCTAACTCAACAATATGTGTCCTGAAATGCTACTTGTTATTTCTGATTTAGCACGAACCCAGTTTTAATCAGCAAGGCGAATGGTAGCCTGGGGAAAAGTGAGGAAAATTGCCCCAAGCCCTTTTGTGGTTGAGGAAGGCTGTTTTAGAAATGCAAGGAAAGTTTTCTCCCAACATAGAGTGGAGATGACATTAGGAAGTGGTGTGCAATAATCTCTAGCCAAGCTTACTTGATCTGCTGTTTGGATTAGAGAAGCCTTTGAAGTTTTCCTCTTTCCCAGCCAGCAAACCCTCCCTGAAAGCCATTAAACTCAGCTCTGCTGGTGCCAGTCCTATCTGTTCCATCTTGGTTGCTTTTCTCTACTACTACTTACGTTCATGGACCTCCTGCCCTAAGGGGTTGGGGTGGGTGTATATGTGGGGGGTGGAATTGAGCGTGTGAAGGCGTATTGTAAGGAGTCCTTTTGAAGAGAAGGTTTATTTTGGGGAGGAGTTGTAGGAGAGCTTTTATTCCCATGCCATAGAGACCAGGTCATTTCTAGGAAGGCTGTGCATGACAAAGGTTTCTCTGTTTGATCTGCCTTTCTTGGATCCTAGGCTGCACATTTACAGTAGTATAACCACTAACCCCAGCAGGAACAGGAAGTGGAGCAGAAGCATCTCAGGGTGCTCCCTGATGGGCAATGCCATGGCTAGGAATCTTTATTTGGGCTGAGTTTGAGTTAAGGTCCTCTTGTTTTTTCAACACCCTTCCTCCCCAAAAGGCAAAAATTACTTTGGCATGGATTAAATAGTCCATAAATTCTTTAGCTACTGATTATAAGTAGTTGTAAGAGATCCCATTTGGAGTCAGGACCTGGCTCAGGTTTATCGGTCTTTCCTTGACAATGGTTTCTACAAGCCCCATAGCTAAAGATGCTTCTGGCTGAAGATGCTAAAAGAGTATGCAAAAGTTCAATTATTTCCCTGCCCAATTTCTACCTAGGATTGACATGACTTTTTTTCCCCAAAGTACTTATATTAAAGAAGGCATAAGAGATGGAGATTAGATGTCTCATCTTTGTAAAGCCAGTGTGGTGCATGGGTTAATGTGTCAGGCAGAGAACATTCCCTTTCAAATCCTTATTCAGCCGTGAAGCCCAATGGATGATTTAAAATCAGTTTATGTAAATGCTTGCACAACACACTAAACAATGGTTCATAAATCAAACTACATTATGCTTTCAGCCATGTTTTGTTTATTTTTTATTAGCATATTATGCAAAAACATAGTCCTTATTAAGCCAATCTACTTCACAGGGTGGTGGGGAGGATACAATGGAGACACAGGGCAGGGCTGGGGGTAGCAGAAGTCATGTCCCTACCATCAAAACAGGATATGAACCTGAGTGTCAGAATCAGCAGGGATCATGATTTGAGTGGGGGGTAACTGGTGCTCTCTGAGCTTGCTTGTTTTCTTGTACTGATGATGTTACCTAGTTAGGGTAATGAAACGTCTGCAAGAAACAACCAAGCTCAGAGAGCACCAAGGACCCCTCATTTCAACCCCAAGCTACAAATATTGTCCTTTGTTGGCATGGTTTGAGTGCCAGAAATTCATCTTTCGTGGACTTCTTGATTGATGACTTGCATGCCAAATTACAGTACGTGAGCAGATTGTCAGATTTTGGCGATAAGAAAGCTCAGTCAATAGTGGTTGCGCGCACACACACAAATCTCCAGTGGGTGCGGTTGCTCAAGAAGAGTGAAATAGAATTGCATGAATTGCACTTTGAAACTCAGAAGGAACATCTGAGCCAAAAGCCAGATAAAATGTCTTTCACCGGGTATAGAGGTATGTATGTATTGATTGATTGATTGATCCACCAAAAATAAAAGCAGGCTAAAATCAAACAAATAAATGAATGAGAGTGAAAATTACATAGAAGTCTTGTAATACCACCTACCGTAAGTAAAATGTGGGGAATACATACAAATGAAGGTTGTAGAGAGATAGATGCTTATTGACACTTTAACCTTTAAAAGATTGCTGGGTCTTGTTTTAATCAAAATTTGACTAATTAAACATTTCATTTGAGTTTTTTGCACTTTACATCTCTTAGATTAGAGACACTTCCAAATGCGGTAGATAGCTCCTAGCCCAGCCAGTCAAAAGACATTGTGAGGCAAAGATGCCTTTCTTTAATTCTTTAGAAAAGAAAAAAAGTGCAGAAAATAAAGGAGGGTTGCAAACAGAAATCAACAAGCTTCTGTCCATTCTTCCTAGCTGCATGGAAAAGGCAGGACAATTGCTAATAAAAGCCTTATGAGGAAGTACTTTAACTTTGCAGTTTCTGGGGCTCTTGACAGATTAAAAGATAGACTAGAAACTAGAAGTATTGATTGCTAATAGGAGAGAGTTTTTCTGTCTTTTACTGTTTTTTAGACAGATTGCATAATACCATAATAGGTATTGTGATGAATAATTTGATTTTCTTAATGGAAGGATTGGCTAATCTATCACTGTGATTTGTAAACTACCATTTATGGTTTAGCATTCTGTGGAAAGCTGGACACTGAGGCTTATAATATAAGTATATATGTATAACTCCAGCCACAGCAAAGAAACATGGAAGATGTAGCATCTTCCAGAGTTGTATATTTATTGCATAAATCTGATTAATTGGCAAACTGAACTTGGGCCCATGAAAGTATAAATCCAAGCTGAACTTGCAAGAAATCTGTTTTTCAGATGCCATTAAACTCTTCCACTAGTTAAAGGATCCAATTTACTAAGCTTTCAAAGTGGATCCTTTGCCAAGATGGCTAGATAATCTTTTTCACATGAAATAGTGTTAACCTCAACACTGATAATAAAGGCTAACACAGCTTCATAAGCAAATATTTCTTTAGCATTCTTCTTGACAAAGGGATGCTCTTTGGTATGGAACCAAACAAAAATAAATCATGAAAGCCACGTTATTCCCACTTCCTGGTTAATTTTTAAACAGGGCAAAGGAAGGGTTTGCGCTTTCCTATAAGTCTTGCCTTTGAATTGAGAATTCCTCCCCTTACTTTCTGGCTGATCTGGCAGTGTGGAGTAGCACAAGGCAAAACATTGCTGGTTATTCAAATTAGATAGCCTCTAGTCTGTGTTACAAATCCACATGTTTAGGATTGGGAGACCTGACATTAATATAGCTTCCTGGGTTGGGTTGCAAATGAAGCCCTGGCAGTATGAATGGAAGTGAGTAAACTGCAGAAACGTGGTGTGGAAAGATTATCTCCCTCCAGCTTCCCGCTCAGTGTTTTAGGGATGGGGTTGATGATTAGCTACAAAAGGAATAAGAATAGTTTTCCTCCTCCCTCCCTGTTGGTCTCTTCCTCCTCCTTCCCCTCTGTAGTCAGGGCTGGATCTAAAGAAATGCTGGTCTTTAGAATATTTGACTGCACACAAATGCAGTATGATAATTCAGCATCTCCAGAAGAAGGCCAAAGAACAATTTCTGGATTGCAACCCGCACCATAAATACTGTATATTTCCAGGCCAACCGACTGTTTGTATACTCAAGCCAGCAACTTTGGTAGAACTTGATTTAAGTCAGGACTAGCCTCAGGTATCCAGCTGATTCGGATGCAAGTGCTCTCTAATCCACAAATCTTAATAAACATGCCAGCAGGATGTTTGCTGCTTTCGCTCTTTGCTGTGCTCTGGTTAGAGAGATGCACTGTAATCATATCAATTACTGAAATGCCCAGCTAGAGAGAGAATTTTGAATTGTCCGGTGGCGGTATATCTGTCTGATCTTCCTTCTCCCCACTTTCTGGAAGGAATAGCCAGTATGTGGATTTCTGGAAGGATCTGTGCTGGTTGCCCAACACTTGGTGTGTCAGAATAACGGGGACGCGATCTCTCCGCCTCCCCTTCTTCTTGTGGATAATTATGAGAGCAAAGAGGAGCCAGAAGCGTCTTGAGCTTCAGAGAAGGAAAATGCAGGCTTAAGTGCATAGAAAGCTAGACGTTTGCTTGCTACAGTTCTGTTTAAAAATCTGGCTTACTAGACGTTTCCAATCTCTTTGCATGTTGATGTTATTGGTCATCACAATTTGTTCATTGGCGTGCTATTACACATGCCAGCAAGAGTCTGAAAATGGGAGTGGGTGGTACCAGCTTTTTAAAGTAACTGGTTGTTTAAAAGGGCATGCGGATGCCTTAACTCAAAACCTAGCATCCCTCTTCCCTGAAAGAGGGTCCTTGCACCTCGAAAATGGCTTCCAAAATCATCAGAATGTCAATCATACCGGAAAGGGCCCCCTTTACCTTTCTTTTTGCTGGCTTTAACTCAGACCAGATCCATCTCTCCCTTGTCAGCACTTCCCCCCCCTCCCCACCAGCCCCTTTGATCTATGCCATGTCATACTTTATGAATGATCTCACCATTCCTGGACCCAGAGATGGGGAGCTCCCTCCCTGACTCTGCCTCTTCTCTTGCTAACCCTGGTGGCAAGGGAACCCACTGCCTCTGAGCATGTGTAATGTGCTGCTGAGGGCGTGACCTCTCCTGTGCAGAAAGCTTCCCACTACGAAGCGCTACTTCGGATACTGGCCTCTGGCCTCTTCCTTCCCAGTGCGGGAAAGTTACGGATTTTCCGCCCAACCTGGCTGGGCTTGGGCGTGGGGAAGATGAGAGCGGACCGGGTGCGTGTGTGTGGGGGGGGGGGGAGTCCTTGGCCGGAGGAAGGCGAGGGAGGAGGGGGCGCACGCCACGAGCTTTCTCACTGAGATACCTCCCCCTCGCCGGACTCAAGCCCCCCCGCCGCCGCCGTCGCTGCCCCTCGCTCGCTTTTCTCTTCGGCTGACTCTTCCCCTCCCTCCTGTCTTTCTTGTCCTGCAGGGATCCCAGCTGAGTCTCAGCCGAACCGGGCAAAGGCGCGAGAGCCGCGGGAAGCGCACCATGCCTGGGATGCGATTGCTCCTCCGCCTGGCTCTCCTCTGCGGCTACACGCAGCTCCTGGCCGAAGCCAGCTCTTGGTGGTGAGTGGGGTCGGATTCTTCTCTTCTCTTCTCTTCTCTTCTCTTCTCTTCTCTTCTCTTCTCTTCCCTTCCCTTCCCTTCCCCTCTTTCTTTCTTTCTTTCTTTCTTTCTTTCTTTCTTTCTTTCTTTCTTTCTTTCTTTCTTTCTTTCTTTCTTTCTCTTTCTTTCGCGTTCTCTCTCACACACTTTCTCTCTTTCTTTCTTTCTCTCTTTCTTTCTTTCTCTCTTTCTTTCTTTCCCTCCCTTGGTCCCTTCTTTTTTTCTCTTTTTTCTTTTCTTTTCTCTTTTCTCTTCTCTTCTTCTTCTCTTTTCTCCTGGTGGTGGTGGTGGTGGTGGTGGTGGTGGAAGAAAGACCCAAGTCCCAAAAGGGGATGCCGACATCCTGGGGAGTGGGGGGGGAGGAGAAAATGAGGCTCTCTAAAAAGTGCTTTTCTCTACTTTTCTCAGTTGAAAGAAATCCGAGCTGCACGCCGGGGGTCCAATCAGTGTCTTGCCCTTTTGAAGCATTGCCGTTTATAAAATGAAATAACTGATTGTGCGTTTCTTTCCCTCTGGAGAATGAGGCACTCCCAAAACCTCGATCTCCCCCTCCCTCTCCACTTCTTGGAGCACCCTGCCACCACCTTCCTATTGATTCTAGGGAATCTCTTACATGCCCCCAAAATAAGAGGCAACAGTTTAGTGGTAACTTGCTTTGGAGCAGATTCACTGGCTGCTGGACTGTAGCCTGGGAAGAAGCTTCCCAAAGCTCACAGTCAAAGCCGGCTTTCCCTGAATGGTATGACAGGCCCTCAACTTGTGCGAAAGATCCTTAGCTGAGAGTTAATTCAGCTACTTAGTTCCAGGACAAAGCTCTATTTAATTATCCATCTCATGGTGAAGCTGATGTGATTCAATAAAGATGAACCAGTTAGGCACTTATGTGGTTGTCCTTAAATACGGAAATCTTAGCTTCCTCACTCCTGACCATTCTGTTGGTGTTTGGAAAGGTCTACGTCTTTATGCCCTGGTTCTGCTGAGAGACAAAGTCTTACCACTCAAAAGTGACTGCCAAAGGCATTTCTTGACAATGTTTTCCTCATTCCAGGTCACTGGCTATGAATCCAATCCAGAGACCCGAGATCTACATCATTGGAGCCCAGCCAGTGTGTAGCCAGCTACCAGGGCTGTCCCCAGGCCAGAGAAAGTTGTGCCAACTATACCAGGAACACATGATGTACATTGGTGAGGGGGCTAAGAACGCCATCAAAGAGTGTCAATTCCAATTCAGGCAGAGGCGATGGAACTGCAGCACAGTGGACAACACATCTGTCTTTGGCAGAGTCATGAGCATTGGTAAGTGAAGGAAAAAGTGAGGAGGCAAAGGACACTGATGGCCATTCTGAGGTTCATGGAAGGTTTGCCTGAAGGCATCTGAGGTGGAATGGCTTGGAGGCACAGAGAACAAAGCCAGAAGGATGTAGAACTGTAAGGACAAAAAAACAGCAAACTCTGGTTGGAAAATATTTTAGAAGGAAGTAGCAAAGCTAGATGGAAAGTGGCAGATACTTAACCGTGATGACAAGAGACACTCAGAAAACTAAATTGTACACAGATGAGAAGTGGATTGCAAGTAATGTTGCATAAGAGCATGGAGATTCAAAAGTCAAGTGAAACCAGTTGGAATGAAAGTGGTTTCTGAAGCAGGAAGCAGAGAAATAGACCGAGCGCAGGGATGAAGTAGAGCAATTTGGGTGGCATTCCTGTGAAAATAGAACAGCTGTCAAGGTAGAGGTAGCATAAATAGTGAGTAGAGACGGAAAATCTGCCCTAAGAGTAAGAGGCTAAGTTTTCATGCAGAGCTTGAATGAATTAGACTCATCAAAATGAGCACTCCTGGGGACAGATAAATCCCTAATTTAATCTCTAATTAAATCATGCAATGCCAAATTGAACTGTTGTTTCATTAGAGTCTCAGACTTTGCTTGATGTTCTCCAGATGTGAGGAATTGCAAACCCCACCTCCCCCAAAAGCAGGTCTCTGTTGCTGTAAAAGAGGTATAAAAGATGCAGTATTAAAAATTATGGGTCAACCCACCTTGTTAGATTCAAGAATTAGTGAAAGTTCATTGATCTCTTGTGCCCGGCCATGATCATTTCCACGAGTGTTGAAGGTGGTGTGTTTTAAATAAGGAACTATTTTGTTTGAAATGGCTTAAACACTTGCTTTCTCACTTGTTTCAGTTGTGTAGAACAACTACTTTTGCTTTCTGTCAAGAGTCTTAAGAAATTTAAATGATGGAAGGAAAAGTTGTAGTAAGAATGAAGTCAGCTAATAGGAGACTTCTAGTGATAACATGCATATTCCTAAAAAAATGCATGGTTGTCTCTTGAGGGTAACTTGAGGGCACCTTCTTATCTTTATCAGCATGATGCATTTGTTTGCATACTATCTAAATCACTTTTCATGACCATAATCTTCCCAATCTGAGCAATGTTCTTATCTATTGCTAACTTGAAGAGCTCTCAGAAAGCATTAATTACTGAGTAATTAAAAGTTTACTACAGCCTTTTAAAATGAGATGGGCTGGAGAATATACTGATGAAGATATACTGGTAGATTTGATTTCTACATGGGTAGCAAAAATGCACTTTGTACTTGGTTTTGAGGCACACTGTTGCCCGAGCATTCCAAGGCTTAGCCACAGTATATTAAATTTTGTTTTCACAGTTAGGATTGGGCTTTGTCTACTTCACTTTAATTCACCATAAATTTTAAAAAAAGCTCCTGGAAAGAGGGAGCGTGTCAGAAATTCCTTGTGTTTCTTATACTGGGATTGTCTTAAGGATAAACACGTGGGGGCAACAGGTTGAAAGAAAGAAAAAAGTTGTAGTAGTGGGAAAGCCACATATGGGGATAAAGCATTAAGCTTACATATGTAGGCTTTGCTCTATTTTTCCATAACAAAAACTGGCATTGAGGAATCGCCTGGTTCATTGTTTCTGGTGTTGCCTCAGGTGAAGTAGGGGGTCATCAGACTATGAAAGAAAGGTTGGCATCAGAGTGTATTCTGAGTAGCTGAGTCACTTTCTCCCAACCTGTTAAATCCCCTCCAGACGAGTGGACCTCAACTAACAGAATTTCCAACTAGCAGGGGCATTGTTGAGCAACTTGGGAATTGTTCTTGTATCAGAAGGAGAAGGCTTAGCTCTGCGAGGTCCTTTTTTGGCAAAATTGGAGCAAGAAGATAAAAAGGGGGTAACAAAGTGCAATGCCTAGGAATGAAATTAGTAAACCTAATCTTTTTCTGAACTCCCTTCTTTTTTCCTCTCTACTGCTGGAATGGTTAATCTAGCCCAGGGGTAGGCAACCTTGGCTCTTTGATGACTCCTGGACTTCAACTCCCAGAATTCCTGAGCCAGCCATGCTGAGGGGAAAGGGAGAGGTCTCCAAGCTGAGCCATGCTGGCTGAGGAATTCTGGGAGTTGAAGTCCACCAGTCATAAAAGAGCCACAGTTGCCTACCCCTGGTCTAGCCAAAAAAACAATTACAATCTCACCTGAGAACCTGCCTTACTGGGAAATACCTTTTTTGGAAGCCTTCTGATTGAGGGTTCCTTGGTGCTCTTTGAGCTTGGTTGTCTTCCTGCAGATATTTCATTACCCAAACTAGGTAACATCAGCAGCGCTGATGATGTTACCTGGTTTGGGTGATGAAACATCTGCAACAAAACAGCCAAGCTCAGAGAGCACCAAGGACCCCCCTCATTTCAATCCTGAGCTATATTCTCCTTCATTGGAATAGTCTGATTGATCCTGCCCTGTTCCCTTTCCCCAATGGAAAAATACCCTGGCTTGCAGCCCTGGGCAGGAAGGAGGAGGCAGCCCCGATAACTACCTTGCTATTTGCCTTCTCCATGCTGGTGCGTCTCCAGGAAAGGCAGCAGGAAGTCTAGCCCTATCCACTACCTTGAGACTTCCCCAGGGTGCCAACTGCTAAGTGGCAAAAGACACTCATTGACAGGTCATTGCAGAATTTGAATTGAGGTGTGAGCTGGATATATTGTTCTCAGTCCTTTTGAAATGCAACTCTCCCCTGGTAAGAAATGGAGAATTCGGGGCTGAGGTTTGATGTGTAAGGATAATAAAAACAAGGTGTTAAAATGCAGCTCCCTCTTTTTCCCCTGCTTCTCAAAGTAAGAAGCCCCTTTAATGGATTCCCTTAGAAATTCACTTCATTATTCAGGGCTATTGTATCTCAGTTTGATTAATTGTAGCACATTACTCAATCCAGAGCTGGCGCTAATGTGAAGCAGAAAAAGGTAACTACCCAAAGCAGCTGATTTGGAGCTTAATAAAAGGTCAACAAGTAAATAGATATACGATATGTTTACATCTGTTGTTTTTGCACTGTTGTCTCAAGGAGGAGTACGACTTTGGATATTCAGTCTGCACTTTGACTTCGTGTATATGTGTATGGGGGTATGCAGACAATTGCAATGTTGTTTATATTGTGAGTTGTAAATGATTAGAGCTGTGGTACAATGGATAAAGTTACAATGCTAAGTGTAGCGACTAAGAAGTAAACTTAAGTAAACACAGAGAGATTCACATTGGATTAGGTAAGTTTAGGACTTATTAAATGTATCCTTCCCATAGGGGTAATTTAAATTCAAAACCTCCTATGTGCAGAATGTAGATAACACTGAAAAAAATGACCCTTTTCTATGGTCTATCCTGCCATAAAAACATTCACAAGTGAATGTTATGTATGTTTATTTGGAAGTAAATTCCATTGCTCTTAGTAAGTGCAACCTAGAAGATGGAGTGGTAAAAGGGCGGCATTTCTTTAGGGTCTATTAAGGGTTGTAGAGAGTCATGTTGGGCAGAGTTAACACCAGTAGCAGGTGGAGCCAGAGCCAGAAGATGAACCCACCATATGCTTTTTTTGTTCTTTCCTGCTGAGCAGGGATCAGATTGCTCCTGGTGGAGGACTGAACTCAGTGGACCACACAGTTTAGGAGCCTCCCCCCCCCCCAAACTCTTCAGCTCATCAACCTCTTCATGAAGTTTCAGATTGTTCATAGTTCTCTCTCTCTCTCTCTCTCTCTCTCTCTCTCTCTCTCTCTCTCTCTCTCTCTCTCTTATTTGTAATTTAATACTGCTTTAATAGTACTATGTTAAGTTTGTTGTTCTACTACAGCAACAACAATGGATAGTCCCATTCACCATTGACTACTTTGGAGAATCCTGGTTTAGAATCTGGGCTGAAGGCCATAAAAATTAGATTGAGACGTAGTGTGCAATGGGTTGAATTAAAACTTGACAATTACTGTTAAAAGCAAAATCCCCTCCCCCTCAAAAATTGGCTTATTTACCAATATTCAAGTCATCCTGCTTAGCTTCTGAGCCAAACAAATTTACAACTTTTCTGTTAAAATGTGCATCTTTCCCCTTTTGTCATTATTGGTATATGCACATCCCATACTTCTATGTCGGATGGTTGGTTGATGAGACAATTTTGTATTGTACTTTAGGTCCCAAATCTGCCCCTTATAGTGCAAGTGCTTCAAAGTCGCCCTGCCTCTACAGCCTAATGTTATTTCGACAGAGATTTTAGGGGTGAAAAAAATGGTCAAAGCCACGATTTTCATAATTTTTTAAAATCAATGTTTGTCCCCAAAGATTAATTCAGAAGTAACTCTTGAGGGGAGGACATATAAAGTCAAAAGAAGCTTGCCTAAATCCTGTCCATGTTCCCTGTTTCGTAAAGGACTACAGATTTACTCTAGAAGTGTTACATGCACAAAATTAAATGTAGTTAGTCTCATTAATAGTTTTCTTCAACAGCTTTCCCACAGTTACATATTCTCTATACCAGTGGTTCTCAACCTTTGGGTCAGGACCCCATTTGGGGTCGAACGACCATTTCACGGGGGTCGCCAAACAACGCAGTCCGCCATTTCCCCCCCCCCTTTTCCTTAGCTATGCTACTCCCTTTTATTCTATTGGCTTTTGAAAGCCAATAGAATAGACTCTCTTGAATAGAGTCTAATTCTGTTGGCCTTCAAAAGCCAATAGGAATTGTCCAGGCTATCTCTGCCCTGCTGAGCCCGCCAAAAGTCCCATTCTGCAAACGGTGCTGCACCAGTTGAGTAGTCCTCGACTTACGACCGGTTGGAGGTCGCGGCATTAAAAAGGTTGAGAACCACTGCTCTACACTGTAAAAGTTGCATGCTTTCATTCTGCTGAGTCCTTTGGAGGAGATCCATGCTCTTAGAGCCCCAGGTTGGCAGGGACACCCATCTTCCCTCTTTCTTCCTCACATCCACTGCCATTTTTTCTCCCTGAACTAG